AGTACATTCTAAAATTGTCATCCTCGTCTACAACTAATTTGGAATAAAATGGAATGAAATACTAATAATTATCGTGTAGAATTTATTTCAAGAAAACAATTTAAAAAGTTATAAAATATATTTTTAAGAATAAAATCGGAATTTTTCATAAATTATTTTTAAGAGAAACTTGTGTCAATAATATTGCCCGCACTTTATATTATAATTTTATATGTATATTTCGGTATTAACACATATAAACACATGTAGCTATGGAGGAATATGTATGAAAATGTAACTGTAAGAAATGAAAATAAATTATAAATTTTATAAATAAAGTATATTTTTGCATACGTAAACAGCTTGACTGCATTCGTATTTACAAAATATATCGGTAGGTACCAAATTGACCTGAGTTTTCACATGGAGCTATTACAGATATTCTATATCACACAGGTTATTAACACTCAAATTAAAGCCCATGACTGAAAAATAAGATCAGGCTAATCAAAATATCTAAAACCGACGGTCTATTTAGAAATTACTATGGAGTCATTACTAATAATTAAAATTGTACCGCTTACATAATTCAGATCTGTGATTATTATAAAGTACGGGCCGCCAAGGCGGACCGGGCCAGCTTGTATCATTTATATCAGTCTTGTAGGCGAGTCTGTTAATACAATGTTAATAATGCTACAAAATATGGACAGTTTTCTTGTAGAGGAAAAACTATGGTCGGATCACCTGCCAATAGCAGTTACAATGGAATTAAGTTATAGTGGCTCATGTAGCTTACAATTTGATATCACATATCTCCTTCGTATTTCTTTAATTGCATCGGCACCTCTCATTTTAAAAGATTGGACATCGCGGATAGGTTTGAAAGATTAGCAATAATTTCTACTTACTATGTGTTCTCCAACATAGCTTCAACTAACTGTTTGTAGATATTGATTTTAAAACTGTTGGGGACTGGACAGAATCTAAACATTTTATTCGCTGTCTTGGTGCTATAGTTTTCCCTTCAAATATGGCTTTTCTTTTCGTTGTTCTACTCAAACACCCACACTTTTTCATTTTTATGGAGGGTATATTAACATTGTCATTCCGTTTGTAACTCCTCAAAATACTCATGTCAGACCCAACAAAGTATATATATTCTTGATCAGCGTAAAATTCTAAGTTGATTTAACGATGTCCGTCTGTCTGTCTGTTGTAATCATGCTATCTTTCGAACGAATTAAGATAGAAGACTAAAATTTTGCACACATTTTTATTTTTCCAGAAAACAGGTTAAGTTCGTAAATGGGCCATGTAGGTCCACGTTTTCATACAGCCCCCATATAACGGTACCTCCCGATATTCGGTATTTTGGTGATTTTACCCACGGCAACGGGTTCTACGATACCGGATTGACCCGAAACAACAAGATCCCTCTTTCAGCCAGCGGCTGCCAACCCAGTATGTACATGTTTGTATTTGTTTATTTTTCTGCATTGGGAGCAGCATATCCCGGAATGCTTGCTCCGGATTTTATTGGTCCATGCCGGGATTGAGGAATACCCCGGACCTTGGTTCTGCTCGGTTTGTCAGAACGTCATCCACAGATCTGTTTCGGTGCGATGTAATGGATGTAGAGAATGGGTGTACTTTAAGAACTGTTCCGGACTAAGGCGTTTGCGAGACTACAGCGAAAGGGGTTATGTTGCGACTTGATGCAGTAACGTAGTCCCCAGCGAGTCAACTTCTTCGTCGTCCTCATCAGAGACGTCGTCGGAGTATGGCACTCCACCGCAGTCTCCAGAACAGCAACCAACACCACAGCACCTAACGCCACATGTTGCTGTTCCAACTCAGGATTGTGCATCATTCTTGCAATTCAATTGCAACGGACTCCGAGGCAAAATAGATGAGATAGTGGAATTTATGAGTCGGAGGAATATTAAGTTCACAGCGGTGAAGATAACCAAGCTGAATGAAAATTGCAGCCTACAACGTTGTTATGGTTACAACGTAATAAGGAAGGATCGCACCAGAAATGGAGGTGGGGGATTAGTGTTCCTGTTACACCATTCTGTTCAGTACAGACCTATCTCGCTTGAGCTAGTCTCTAGTGACCCATACATGGAATGTATAGGGGTAGCAGTCAAGTGTGGAACTGTCGAGGTAGAGGTGCTTAATGTGTATATCCCGCCGATTAATAGCTGTGAACCGCGCTATTTGCCTGATATTAGTCCATGGTTGGTAGGCAATAACCGCCTGGTACTAGGGGATTTTAATGCCCACGATGATTTGTGGAATTCCGCCCTAGGTAATGACCAAAGGGTTCAGCGCTGGCAGAGCAGATTGACTGATCCACATTCTGCACAGTTAACGAGGATGCCCCACCCGAATAAGAGGAGAGTGTCATAGTTCACCAGACTTAACCATAGTGTCACCCAGTTTGATAAATGACTGGACTTGGCAGCTCGTCATTTCTCTTCGCTCAGACCATCTCCCGATAATCGTCTCCAAAAGCAGGTCGCCCGAGTGAACGCTGCACTTTCCTTAACCATGGGAAAGCTCACTGGCCAGAGTTCAGAGAATTAACCAACCGCCGCTTCAGAGAACTGCCCAACCCTTCTGATGTTCGGATAACAGAAAGGATTTTCCGAAACATCATCAAAGCTACAGTCGCTCGCTATATACCTGCTGGTCGAATACCCGAGATAAGACCAAACTTCCCAGCAGAGGCAGCGGGATCAGTAAACGAGCGTGATGATCTCCGTCGTACCAACCCTACTAATCCTAGAATCAGTGATTTGACAGTGGAAGTCAACCGGTTGGTACAGGAGCATAAGAGGAAAAAGTGGCTAGAACATCTGAAGTGTTGCAACATTGGAACCGTAGCATATATATACTTTTTTTTTTTCTTTTGTTTCCAATTTTCATTCAATTTTCATTCAACCCTCTCTTACCACAAGTTTGTACTTCTTGAACTCCTTAAATACATTCTAAAATTGTCATCCTTGTCTAAAACTAATTTGGAATAAAATAGAATGAAATACTAATAATTACCGTGAAGAATTTATTTCATATATATATATATATATATATATATATATCTCTTACCACAAATTTGTACTTCTTGGACTCCTTTTCTCATCAGTTGAAATAGAGTACAGGCTGATGTAATTGTTGGGGATATGTTCAGTTTTCTCTACAAATCTGCATAACAGCATTAATATTTTCAAGTCCTTTAAAAATTTATTTTTTACTCGTGACGCGTATTCCTGACAACGCAATTTAACATCATGATCTCGAATTTTGCTTTTAAGAATGTTTTTTTTCTTCTTTTTGCATTCGGTTTTCGGTTCTATGAAAAGAGATTTCGGCCGTAGCAACCGATATTTCATCCCTTACTTCTTCTATATCCTATTAGGTTGGGAGATTGAATGATTTTTTTTTCAGTATACCATTCATCGTTGATTTCATGATTTCCATCAAATCATTGACCTTCATATTTTCTACAGGATTCTTTGCCATGTTTTCCATCTATGAGAATGTTTTAAACAATTTCCTTTTCGTTTGTTGAAGACTGTTAGGCATGTGTTGCAAACCTTAAGGTATTAGTTGAGTGGAGACTGTTATTTACCAAAGAAACAAATTATTTCTAATTAATTTCACCCGGGTAATGTTCTGCAAACAATCGCCGACCTTCGCACGTTTATAAGATCAGAAAAATAACCACCTAAACTAAGGTCACAATGAATTTAAATGCAGTAGCTTATATATAGAAAATTAAAAAAAGAATAATTGTTGATATTTTTTTCCGTTAAAAAGATTGTATTTTTGTTATACTTGTATTTAATTTTAAAAATTTGGCACTGTCCAAATCGGACGTGTCAGGACTGTTGCACATGAGGAAATACATTTAATTTTTCTTCACTTTCAACTGTGGTGCAATAAATTATACAGTTGCAAATATGCTACTCACTAAACAAAAAATAACCCTATGTCGTTGAAAGTTTCCAAGTAAATACTTTTTTCACCAGAAATAAAAATGTCTTTCCTTAGTTAAGAAAAATGTTTTCTTTAGGAGCAAGCCCAAAAACGCCTACCGATATATTTTGTAAATACGAATGCAGTCAAGCTGTTTACGTATGTAAAAATATACTTTATTTATGTCGTAGAAAGTTTCCAAGTAAATACTTTTTTCACTAGAAATAAAAATGTCTTTCCTTAGTTAAGAAAAATGTTTGTCTTTAGGAGCAAGCCCAAAAACGCCTACTGATATATTTTGTAAATACGAATGCAGTCAAGCTGTTTACGTATGTAAAAATATACTTTATTTATAAACTTTATAACTTATTTTTATTTCTTACAGTAAAATGTTCATACATATTCCTCCAAAGGAGAATTATCATTTCAAATACGTAATTATAGCTACATGTGTGTATAAAAATATGTTAATACCAAAATATACATCGCAGTTATACAGTGCAGGCAATATTATTGACATAAGTTTCTCTTAAAAACAATTTATGAAAAATTCCGATTTTATTCATAATAATACATTTTATAACTTTTTAAATTGTTTTCTTGAAATAAATTCTACACGATAATTATTAGTATTTTAAAATGTTCATTCCAAATTAGTTTTAGACAAGGATGACAATTTTAGAATGTACTAAAATTTAAAGTTAATTATGTTATGTTCCCAAAAAATTATTTTGTTACATAGGTTACCTTTTCATTTCATTACGAATGATTATTTTACATCATTATTATTTCGAACTATGTTAAAAAATTCCAAGTTATCAATTTTATTAATACTATATCGTTATTTTCAAATTTCGATGTTTTAAGTGAATACGATAAACAAAACCTTTAGTGTTCTTAACATTTATAACTGCTAAAATTTTGTCAAAAGTAACTTGCCAATAATTTTGTCGAGCACTATATATATATATATATATATATATATATATATATATATATATATATATATATATATATATATATATATATATATATATATATATATATATTCGGTCATCACAATGATTAATTTGTGGCTTCTTATAATAAAGTTTCTTCTTGAAATGGTATACTACACTTTTTTACAAATTTAATACACACTTTACGTGTGTATGTATCAATCAAATATGTATATTTCATATGTATTCATCAGTGCTCCAAACGTATTGGAATTGTGTATTTTCTTTTTTATTTGCTTCTAATTCTCTTTGAGTTCATGTTATAAACCCACATTCTTCTATGTGATTCTATGTCATCAATGTATGTAGTTCATATAAAAAATATTGTTATATATTCATATGTATAAAGACTTTTTGGCACTGTTATCGCGTACTTTTAAAGAACATAAACAGACACAAAAAAGATAGCGCCTACCTAACACTAGGGTGAATACTTCTGTACTACTGCAACATTAGTGCATTTAAGTTTCTTTGTAGGATTGTATCTTTTACGGAATTAAAGACAACGTTAATATTACGTGTGTCTATGGCGGTGGTAAAATGATGATATGTACGACTTTGTTGAACTTTTCGTACGCTCATAAACATTTGCAGGATAAAGTTTTGAACATCTAAAAGAGAGTGCGGATTTCCATGGAATTGGGGGTAGAACCAACGTATATCAGTCTCTGGGTTTTTGACTTTAAGCTCCAGTAAATCCATTTTGTTTAAAAATAAAATAATCGAGATACCTTTAAACGTGTTATTATTTACAATAGTATCAAAAATATTTCTGGACTCTTCCAAGCGATTTGTCATTCTGCAAGATAGGAAAAATTCATTTTACGTACTATCGAATTTCAGTTTAAATGTGGCATACCTATCTTCTGCTAAAACTTGATCGAACTCGGACGTCGAAACTAAAAATATTATAGATGTAACTGACGAATCAAAACATCGTGTCCATTTCTGTCTTTGTGTTCGTTGTCCTCCCACATCTACAAACACAAAAGGTATGTTCTGTAAAATATATAGAAGAAAGATAAAAAGCATTATATTTTTTTATCTGCAGAATTGAAATATCGTGATATAGTCCAAGACCAACTTTTTAATCTACCATAAAATAAAAATGTAATGAATAAGAATAACACAGTTGTGTGGGTCAGTCAAAAAATCACAGAAAATATTCAATACTTAACTCATATCTATATTATTACGACGCGTTAACAGAGATGGTCTAAATTTTATATTCGACTTACTGTACAAAAAAATCACCTTTCTTACTACGATAACACGTTTGTTACCCAAACAAAATTTTTAATATAAATTTCAATTTCAAACATTTACCATTTTTTACCCAACGTTTTTAATTTCAACATACGAAAAATTACTTTGTGAAATTTAAACTAGATCAATTTACCGTGTTCAAAATTGTAGCTTGTCGTGATTGCTGCAGAATGGTAAAAAAGGTCTGGATATATTTTTGTTTCTGATAACACAATTAATATTTTATAAATTAAATGCTTGAATTTGTTGCATCCATGCACTTTAAGATGAGTTACGAACATTAACAAAATAGAGAAAAATAAGAGATTAGATATGAAATATAAAACAATGAACAATATATGAACTGTTAAAAATTAGCATCATTAATTTTCGATTTTAATTATTTTCAGAAAAGGAAGTTGGTGGTTACGTGACAACGTTCTGCAATAACGCCTTCGTTTTTATCGTCGTTTATCGAGTCGTCCTCAGAATATGGAATTCAACCGCAGTCTCCTAAACAGCATTATATACCGCATATCGTTTTTGTAACCCAATTTCAGGGCACTTCGAGATAAAACTAATGAGAGTGAAAATAAGTTCAATGAAAATTGCATCCTACAACAATGTAATACTTATCACATATTAAGGAAGAATCGCACAAGAAGAAGAAGTATGGAATTAGCGTTCCTGTTACGGCACCCGGACATAATCCCCATTGCAATTATGGGGATTGTGACCGAGTAAAAAACTGTCATAATCCCCATTATTGTAATGGGGATCATGACACGGCACCTCCTGTTACACCATTCTGTTCAATATATATCTATCTACGTAAAGATCATGGAATGTATTGACTGCTGGTTGTTGTTGTTGTAGCAGTAGTACATGTATGTGTTTGCGTTCTGCTAATCTGGTTCCAGCTCCAGGTTTAGAAATTCGGCTACTTTAACGGGCTGTAGCCAGAGATCTTCTGGAGTGAAGCGTATTGTGTGGGCCTGTATCGCACGCCGGACAGGCGTCACGCACATCTTCATCAATTCGTGCCCAATACGAATTGAGACGACTACACCATCCTGAACGTAATTGCGCCAAAACTACCCTGGTTTGTCTAGGCAGCTGACGTTCTTCGACTGCAATGGATGGGGGGGTGGACTCCGAGGACGGCATTCACTTTATAACTGCTAATAGCATCCGCGACTGCATCGGTGTGAATGCCACTCGGACCTGCCTGATAGGCTTCTTGATCTAGAGGCTCTCTCTTGTAGCGCTGGACCTCCCTCTCTAGATCATGTATGTCCTTCCTGACACGCCTGGGTGGGGGAGAGTTATCCACCATATGATGGTTAGGATGACTCTCACGGTAACACCCAAGCAGGTACTGCAACGAAAGCATATGATTATGCTGACGTAAGGGAAGGACTTTCGCCTCCTCATGTAGATGGTCCACTGGTGTCATGAGGAGGCACCCTGTAGCAGTTCTCAGGGCAGCGTTCTGGCAGGTCTGGATATGCTTCCACTGCGTAGCACTAGTATTCGCAGACCATACTGGAGCCGAATAGCTGACCACAGACCGACCTATCGCGTTATAAGATGCCAACAAGGTTTCTTTGTCCGCACCCCAAGAGCTGCCGGCTAGCGCCTTGAGGACCTTGTTCCTACTTTTCATCTTGTCGCAGATAGCTGTGGCTTGCGCGGAAGACTTGAACATGCTGTCGAACGTTACCCCAAGAATCTTGGGGTAGTTCGTGGTCGGTATTAGATTCCCCTCGACCTGAACATTCAGCTGTGTTCTCATCTCCGCAGACCATGTGGTAAAGAGTGTGGCCGTTGATTTCGTGGCGGATATTTTCATATTCCTTGCGTGGAAGTATCCGGCAAGCTCCGCGAGATAGGGGTTCAACCTTTCGCATATGTCATCGACCACTGGACCCGACGCCATGATCGTACAATCATCCGCATACGTTACGATCTCAATGCCGTCTGGAGGGCGAGGAATTCCGGAAAGGTAGAGGTTAAACAGTTCCGGAGATATCACCCCGCCTTGGGGAACTCCCTGTTTCACTCTACGGGCTTTGGACTTCTCGTTCCGGAATTCCACGTACGACTGGCGTCCACGCATATAGTTGATTATCCAACGTTTCAAACTTGGCCGGAGGGTAGTTCTCTGTACGTCCTCAAACAGTGTGGCATGATTGACCGTGTCAAATGCCTTTGATAGGTCAAGGATTGGCTGCTGGTCATGTGTGGAGCTGCCGAGGTAGAGGTGCTTATTGTTTATATTCCGCCAGTTAATAGATTTAAACCGCATTTTTTCCAAATATTATTCCGCTTTTGGAAGGCAATAACTGACTGGTACTAGGGGATTGTATTGCTCACCATGAGTGTTGACATCCCGTTCTAGGTAATGACAAGACAGAGCGAATAAGAGGAGAGTCAAATGTAACCAATGTGTTACCCACTCTGATAAATGGCTTGAATTGGCAGCCCGTCATTTCTCTTGTGTCGAGAGAGATAGGGTGAATACAAGGTAGGGTACAATTACACAATTTTTTACAATTAGTAGCCTCTTTTTTTTCTTTTAGTAGCCTCTTTTTTTCAGCCTGGTTTTTTTTTTTTTTTTTTGTAACTATATTTTTCCATTATTTGGGTTTTTGAAGCAAATACTTTTCATGTTTTGGCCGTTCATTGGCCGTTTGATACAGAATTATGCCAACATTGTATGTGTATGATCTATTTTAACACATCAACATTTTGCTAGCGCATCTTGCAAGTCATATTCTTCAAATGTTTTTTAGATATTTTTCAATTTTATTTTATTTTTTTTTAATGTTTTGAATTTATTGGTGTTGTCACAAACAGCACAACTCATAATGAAATTAAATCAAAAACATAACAATATAATGGTTACGAAAACACTGACATTTCAAAGTTTTTCGGCAATGGACATCAGGTTTCAAAATTTATATAAAAGCAAAAATAAAAACGAATACGTTTGAAGACAAACGATTCAAGTGAAAGCAACCTTAAAAAAAAAAGAAAAACAGACCGTTGGTATGTGTTGTTTTCATTAATAAAAAAACGTGGGCCTATGTAGACAATTGTAGACAATTGGTTGGTATCTATTGCGAAACAAATTTGAAACATTTCTGTGGAAAAATATGACTAAAAAAATATAAAAAATATGACTAAAATCATCATAACTCTAACACATAGGCTGCGGAGACAAGAATAAAGCTGAATGTGCAGATCAGGAGGAACATAATTCCGACCACAAAACACCACATGTTGAGGTCGTGCATATCACAGCTATCTGCGGTAACTCTCAATCTGTACCCAAAACTATAAATTATATTTTGTATCATAATTACCTCGTCTTTTTTTTAGGGAAGTAGTTCTCATTCTGTCATAAAGAGTCGAAGTTATTATATTTTTAATTATTGTCATTAACAGTCTTAAATGTAATCTTTCCTTTTTTAATTAACTTGTATATCTTTATAACTAGAGTAGTTCCTTACTGTAAAAAATTCTTTGTACACGTTTTGGAGTGCAATTAAAATAAATATTTCAAAATTATCAGTTTCCCATCCACCATAAAATATGACATGTGCAAACCAGTGGTCTTGTTGCGATGTTGCATACGATAATGTGTCAGATAATTAAGGTTATAACCCATACACATGATTTCATTGCGCTCAGTAGGTAGCCAAAACCACTTGAATAAAGGGGCAAGCAGTCCTGCAAATCTCTATTCAATATTAGAAAAAATAAGAATAGGTTAAGTTAGATTTGTTTTTGTAGTACTTAAGAAAAACATTTTTTAACAAGGACAAAAAAAGTTCCAACTAAAAACAAATATACGTATCTCATTTTGAAAAGAGGACATCCAATGGTCCTCCGACAAACAAGATGGCGGATATTTTCATATTCCTTGCGTGGAAGTATCCGGCAAGCTCCGCGAGATAGGGGTTCAACCTTTCGCATATGTCATCGACCACTGGACCCGACGCCATGATCGTACAATCATCCGCATACGTTACGATCTCAATGCCGTCTGGAGGGCGAGGAATTCCGGAAAGGTAGAGGTTAAACAGTTCCGGAGATATCACCCCGCCTTGGGGAACTCCCTGTTTCACTCTACGCGCTTTGGACTTCTCGTTCCGGAATTCCACGTACGACTGGCGTCCACGCATATAGTTGATTATCCAACGTTTCAAACTTGGCCGGAGGGTAGTTCTCTGTACGTCCTCAAACAGTGTGGCATGATTGACCGTGTCAAATGCCTTTGATAGGTCAAGGATTGGCTGCTGGTCATGTGTGGAGCTGCCGAGGTAGAGGTGCTTATTGTTTATATTCCGCCAGTTAATAGATTTAAACCGCATTTTTTCCAAATATTATTCCGCTTTTGGAAGGCAATAACTGACTGGTACTAGGGGATTGTATTGCTCACCATGAGTGTTGACATCCCGTTCTAGGTAATGACAAGACAGAGCGAATAAGAGGAGAGTCAAATGTAACCAATGTGTTACCCACTCTGATAAATGGCTTGAATTGGCAGCCCGTCATTTCTCTTGTGTCGAGAGAGATAGGGTGAATACAAGGTAGGGTACAATTACACAATTTTTTACAATTAGTAGCCTCTTTTTTTTTTTCTTTTAGTAGCCTCTTTTTTTCAGCCTGGTTTTTTTTTTTTGGTAACTATATTTTTCCATTATTTGGGTTTTTGAAGCAAATACTTTTCATGTTTTGGCCGTTCA